TCTCTCTCTCTCTCTCTCTCTCTCTCTCTCTCTCTCTCTCTCTCTCTCTCTCTCTCTCTCTGTAGACATATACCCACTGCTTCATGCTTTCAGGCAACTGGTATGCTCCCTGGATCTGAATCTCACTTTACATATACCCAAATTCTCTTTAATCCCAGGGATAGATAGAGTGCTTATGAATTCCAGAGCTGTTTTCATTTATTGGATACATATTTTAATGTATTACTTTTTATTTTATGGCTGTTCTGCTTGCATATACATTTCCATAACAAGTGCATGACTGATACCTACAGAAGCCAAAAGATGGTATTAGATTATTTGAAACTGGAGTGGTGGATGGTTGTGGATCACCAAGTGAGAGCTAGGGATTGAATCTAGGTCTTCTGAAAGAACAAGCAGTGCTTTTAACTTCTTAGACATCTCTCCAGCTAGACACAATTTTTAAGATATAGTTTAAAATGTCTACTCACACTACTTATCCATAATGACACTTCTCTTGGAGAAATTTCAATATCTTCTCTGTCTTACCACAATTTCCTCCTGTACTAATCTTTAGTTTTTCATATAGCAGCATTCAGGGCTGAGGGGTTCTGGAATATTTTCTATGCTATATTAAATAGTCGTATACTAAGAAGAGTAGAAAAAGAGATATCAAGAAAAAAATCTGTAGGAATGTCTCTTAGGGCAGAAGCAGGGTTTGCATCTTGCTGCTGTTTTGGGCATTTTTTGTTTGTTTGTTTTCCATAATCAACCTGAAAAGTGAATCAACTATAATCCGTGGCTGTGCAATGGCGTATTCTCACAGTACTGAGGAGAAATGCAAGTCCTGTTTGCTGCCCTGGCACAGTGCCTCCTTCTCCCAAAGGTATCTGGGGACTTGGTTATGCTTCCATCAAGGTGTAAGATCTTTAAGAACTACTTTTTGGGCAAAAAAAAAAATCTCATTTGGCTCGACAAAAGTCCTTGAAAAGAAAAACAGTCAGGGCATACTAGAGTCTGTGTACAGTGAGAAACATTGTAACAGAAGAGCTTCAGGTGTAGCTATGGTGGTTTCACCAGGGAGGTCTGGCCAGCATCCATCTTAACACTGCTCAGTGTATTCAAGGTGGTCAACTATTAGGACAGTTGTGGGTAAACTGCTTCAGGGGCAGGATAAAGATTTTTGAAGGAGTGGATTTTTTTTTTTGTGTGTGTGAAATGAAACTCAATCTGCTATTATTGACAAGTATTTTCAACATAAAAGAAATACTTTTAAATATGGGTAGTTCACTTCAATTATAATCAAGGCTAAAATAGCCAACTTCTCGTAAACAGTGGAAGTTTCTTTAGAGTTCATCAATATGAGAACTTGCTACATTTATCCAGTGTTCAAGCTATGGTCTTTGCACATTTACTGATCTTTTAGAAAATGGAGTATTTTGTTATTTGTTTGTTAAACTTCATTTTAAGTTTTAATTAGTTAGTTAGTTAGTTAGTTAGTTAGTTAGTTAATTTACATTCCTGCCACAGTTTCCCCTCCCTCCTCTCCTCCTACTCCTTTTCCATCCCCACCCACCCTTCTTTACTTTTAATAAAAGGAAAGGCCCCCATGGATATCAACCAGCCTTAGTATATTAAATTGCAATAAAACTAGGTGCATCTTCTCCTACAGAGGCAAGATGCAGCAGCCCAGTTAGGAGAAAGGATCCAAAGGCAGGAAACAAAGTCAGATATAGCCTCCTTTCCTGCTATTAGGAGTTCCACATGAAGAGCAAGCTACACAACTGTTACATATATGCAGATGGCCTAGGTATATCCCATGTATGCTCCTTGATTGGCAGTTCAGTCTCTGTGAACCCCTATTAGCCCAGGTTAATTGATTCTGTAGTTTTCTGTGGTATACTTGACCTCCCTGGCTCCTACATTCCTTGCTAATGTTTGGCTCTGTGTCTCTTCAGTTTCTGGATGAAGCCTCTCTGATGATAGCTATTCTAGGCTGTTGTCTGCAAATATAAAATATCATTGACAGTGTCATGGGAGGAATACTTCTCTTGACATGGATCTCAATCTGGACCAGTCATTCCCTTAATTTCTGCTCCAACTTTATCCTTTGTACATCTTGAAGGCAGGACAAATTGTAGGTCAAAGGTTAAAACACAAACGACAGATCATGCGGGTTACGATTTGGAGGAAAGGGAAAACTCCATCCTTGCTGGCGAGTGTGGACTTGTGCAGCCACTTTGGAAATCAATTTGGTAGT